GGTAGAGTGATCCTCCCACCTCACCCTCCTGAGTATCTGGGACTACAGGTGTGTGCTACCACACCTGGCTTTTTTATTTTTATTTTTTATAGAGAAGGGTTCTCACTATGTTTCCCAGGCTAGTCTTGAACTCCTGGCCTCGACTGATCCTCCTGCCTCAGGCTCCTAACGTGCTGGCATGACAGGAATAAGCCATTGTACCTGGTCCCAATATTCTTTATAACTTCTAATAGCAGTCAGAGACATCTATCTATGGTGTTCAGGAATTTAAGTAATCACACTAACATCTGACATCTGTATAGCACTCTTTCACATTATCCCTATGTGCCTCACAAAATCTTATGCTGTAGGTAGAGCAAGTATTATTGTCTTAGTTTTAAAGGTTAGAAAATGAAGATTCAAAGAGCTTGAGTGAATTCCCCAAGTGTGTCTGGTTACTAAGTGGTGAAATTGGGCCTCCAATCTGGTTTTCTAACTTTAAGTTCTGTAAGAATAAGATGGTTGAGATGCAGTTTTAGAATGTAGGCTTAAAAGCCAAGTAGATTTTGGTTCTGGCTCTGGTACAGCCCTTGGGAAAGCTAGTCATGTTCTCGAAGTCTTCCTGTCGTTACACATAAAATAGGAAAAATAGTAGGGTCATTTTGAGGATTTTATAGAATAATACATAGCCCCTGGCAAATTGTATATTAAACATTCAGTAAGTGTCATCTTTCTATCACAGATTTAAGCCAGTTGAATAAGCAATTTATTTAACCAACATAGATTTGGTACAGATCATCCTATAAATGTCTGTTTGGCCATAACGCTAAGGATTTAGTAAATAACCCAGTGAAATTATTTTGAACTGAAAACATTCTATGTTCCTATTTCAAGTACTTTGTCATCTATTACAAGGTTCTCCTTAATGGAGAGACAAATTTTTATAATTTTTTTCAGTAGTACTTTTTGTTATATATATAATACAAAATGTAAATTGGTATAATCCTCTTAAAAAGCATTTGCACAATTTATATTAAGAATCAGAAAAATGTTCATACCTTTTGACTAAGTAATTCCACTTCTGAGAAATTATATAAAATATATAAAAAGCTACATCCAAACAAACAGAACATTTTACACACAAAGATGTAAAATGTTCATACCTTTTGACAAAGTAATTCTGCTTCTGAGAAATTATATAAAATATATAAAAAGCTACATCCATATAAACAGGCACACACAAAGATGTATATCACAGAAGTATTCAAGATATTAAAAATAACCAAAAGCCCTAGCAACAGTTCTATCATTCAGAGTTCTTTGGTTGCAAAGAACAGAAAACAACTCTATCTTCTTTTCTATCTGTCTTCCAAAGACACCATTGGAAAGATTGGGTAATGTCTCAAATGAACGGCATTAGGAAGAATGAAAACCAGGAGTGTCAGTATAAAGGCCTCATTGACAGTCTTTCTTTGAGGTACAGGTATTAATTAAAATGACCCAGCTTTAGTCATCTGCTCATCTCCAACTAAGCCTTGAGTGGGGCCATACTGTGATCAACACCTTAGTTATCTGAAGATTGTCTAACTGGCCTGGCTTGGGTCTTCTGCTTACCTCTTAGTGAGGCAAAATGGGGAGTGAAAACACTGTGATAAACAGTTCCATCCAGATCCCATGCAGAGAGCAGGTAGCATTTCCCGAAAAGAAAGAAAGGTGTTGAGTGGGCAGAATGACAGACGTCCACTACTCAGCAGACTGGCCAAATAAATTATTATTAATATATATCGACTATTTGAGACTATAATCATGACCATTATAGAGACTATCTAGAATGCCTGTCCTTCCTTCCTTCCTTCCTTCCTTCCTTCCTTCCTTCCTTTTCTTCCTTTCTTTCTTTCTTTTTCTTTCTTCTTTTGACGTGAAGTTTTGCTCTTGTTTCCCAGACTGGAGTGCAATGGCAAGATCTTGGCTCACTGCAACCTCCATTTCCTGGATTCAGGCGATTTTCATGTCTCAGCCTCCTGAGTAGCTGGGGTTACAGGAGCCTGCCACCATGCCCGGCTAATTTTTGTTTTAGTAGAGATGGGGTTTCACCATGTTGGCCAGGCTGGTCTTGAACTCTTGACCTCAGGTGATCCGCCCACCTTGTCCTCCCAAAGTTCTGGGATTACAGGCCTGAGGCACTGTTCCCAGCCCTATCATGTCACTTTAAATAAAAAGGCAGGATATTCAAATATGTGTGTAGGTGTATGGTTATATCTACCCAAAAAAAGGGTATTAGAAAAGCACTGGAAGGAAATTCACCTAAATCCTTGCCAATAGCTATGTTTCTGTCTGATCTAGGCTCACACAGTAGGGTACCTGCCATATGAACTAAAACCAGAGAGAGGTCTGGGGCTTGAAGCTGGTTCTGAAAGAGTTGTCTCCAGTTGCTACAGAAGGCAAGAGTCAGGGAGTGAGAGCAACTAGAGGGAAAGAGAACTAACCACCCAGCCGGATGAAATTAATCAGTTCCCAGGACTTGAGCAGAAACAAAGCCCAAAGTCAAGGGCTGAGAACAAGTTGGAGGGGAGGAAGTGGGAAGGTCAATGGCTTTCCTGTGATCAAGACTGGATTGCCCAGACCTCCCTCTGTGGGGTGTGGCTGCACAGTAAGTCGAGGCTTGGGCCTGAGGAAAAGACACAGATTTGAAGGAAGTCACTGGAGAGAGGAAAAGCGGGTAATTTTCTGCCCCCTCCTTCTTTCAAACCTTCTGTGATGATTTTAAAATTTTTGTGAATAAGGGCTGGACGCGGTGGCTTATGCCTGTAATCCCAGCACTTTGGGAGGCGGAGGCGGGCTGATTACTTGAGATCAGGAGTTCAAGACCAGCCTGGACAACATGGTGAAACCCCATCTCTACTAAAAATACAAAAAATAGCTGGGGTTGCTGGCGCGTGCCTGTAATCCCAGCTACTCAAGAGGCTAAGGCAGGAGAATTGCTTGAACCTGGAAGGCAGAGGTGCAGAGGTTGCAGTGAGCCGAAATCGTGCCACTGCACTCCAGCCTGGCGACAGAGCAGCACTCCTTCTCAAAACAAAGCAAAACAATACAAAACAAAACAAATATATGTGAAGAAAGAAGCTGAATAAAAAATACATTATAGTTTTAAATTGTTGATTCATTCTTCTTAAATGCCTATTGCTGTTGTACCTCTATTAGCACAGTGAAGGAAGCTTTAAATTTGGAATGTGAAAGTCTATTAAATTGAACTGCTATCAATATTCCTGAATTGTAAAATTTTACTTGTTTGACTTACAAGCTACCCAACTTTATCTGAATCTCAAAATGCAGGCTTTCTATTCTTCTATAACTTAATGATCCAAGAGGCGATTTTGCTTATGCTTAGATGTAATGACTTCATGATTGGTTCTCTTACAGGTTCAGTAATCTGTTTGTTTTTATAACTCCCCAAAGATTCAGGGATGAAAACATTGCCTAGAGCTTCCTTTAAAATTTCTACAATTTTTCCCTTTATAATATGAGGACAAGGAAACTGTGAATAACAAATTACTTTACCCAAAGAGAATGGCTTCTTTGCAAAACAAAGTTAAAAAAAAATGCAGCTTCAAGATTTTATATGTTTGGTTAATGATACAACACACTTTCTTTCATCTCTGTGTAATTATAAAAAAGACATTGGTCCTGGTGTCATATAGAAAAACTTCATGGCTGGGCGCGGTGGCTCACGCCTGTAATCCCAGAACTTTGAGAGGCCGAAGTGGGTGATCACGAGGTCAAGAGATTGAGACCAGCCTGGCCAACATGGTGAAGCCCCGTCTCTGCTAAAAATACAACAATTACTGGGCATGGTGGTGCGCACCTGTAGTCCCAGCTACTTGGGAGGCTGAGACAGAAGAATTGTTTGAACCCAGGAGGCAAAGCTTGCAGTGAGCCGAGATTGCACCACTGCACTCCAGCCTGGCAACAGAATGACACTCCATCTGAAAAAAAGAAAAGGAAAAAAAAAGAAAAATTTCAAAGTTTCTGGGAGTGAGAAGAAACAATCTGAAGGGAAAAATATTCATGATTAGGTACAAGTTTTTGAGGACTTTGAAAACGAAGTAAAGAAAACCTATTTTCTGACTGCTGACATTTACATTTTGAAATATACACTTTCTTTAGGGCAGGAAGAAAAAAACTGTATTTTACACAAAGATTGCCAACCTTATTGCACAGATCTATTTAACATTTCCATGAGGAAATGATGTGTCTTAAGTCAAATGGGCTTCTAATGTCATAACATGAAACTTCCTTTGATATAAAACTGTATCCTCTATTCTATGACATGTCCTTCAACCACAGAAGAATTTTTCCTTTAAAAAAAACTCACAGGATATAAATAGAATATCAAGAAATACAGGTTATGAGATAGAAGGAAGCCCAAATATGCATAGAATCCTTTGCTGGACTAAGAACATCTTGAGAAGATCCACACACTTTAATCTTGAATGCTGTCATCTTTTCATGATGAAAGCCTAAAATCTTAAAGCCCAAACCAAAAGATTTCAAGAAAAATTAATTTGTGAAAAAGAAAAAAAAATCCAGCTTGTCATTTGAAATAATGAATACCATAATTCAGTGCTTACATGATATGCACAAAACTTGAATATGTAAATAATACCCGTTACATTTTGAATTTAACTTTTATGCTAGCTGAGCTTTCTTTTTTGAAAAAGGATGGGAAAAATGCAAGATAATCTTATTTTCTCTTTTCCACACAAGATATAGTCCTCAACTCTGCATAGGAAACCACTACATTAACCAAGTTTCTGAAGGCCCGGTCTGCACTTTAAATCCTCTTTGAAAGCTGACTTCCAAAGGATTTAAAAGGACGTTCAGGGAGCCCCCAACTTTCCTGGATGCTCTAAGAGAATTTTTTTTATCACTTCAAGCTGAAAAACATGATCTTAGTTTAATAATTAATATGTCTAATCTCAACATTGTCAAAATTTTAAATGTTTTAAAATTAGACGATAATGTTACATTTTCAGTTTTAAAAGAACACTTCTTCCCCATTCCCCAGCTCAGGCCTATGACAAGGGAGAATCCAGCAGTTGATGAAGGAGAGAAAGCTGCTCCTTTTTCCCCACTGATGGCTTCTCCTCCTCTCCCCATCTTGCTAGCCACTAAGGTTGGAAGAGGAAGAGGAGAGATGGGAAGGGAAGCAGGGATGTTCTTCCTTGCCAGGTACCCGGATAACTTAGTATCTGAGTTTTCTAGGCTCGGCATGTATTTACAGCTGACTGGTTATATATGATTTTCTTTTTCTTGGGGGTGGGGGCAGGTGGGTGGGTAAATTGTTAGAGACACCCCCACTCTCTATCACAGGGCATCTTTCCTATGTAATTCTCTCCAGGGGGGAGAATGAATCTCTAGGTTCTAGTTGGTGGCTTACCCCACATTCATCCATTGAAGGTACCTCTATCTTCTTTCCTACTGAGTGTTTGTTCTTCCAGGGACCTCTTAAACTCGACCTAAGTCAGCACCCATGAGACTTCTCAATGCAGGCGGTCTTTTGGACTCCACCATCAGAACACCCAACCTGTCTCCCTGACTTAGCTGTGAGTGAGAAACTAGACCATAATGTCCCCATAAGCAACAGTCTCCACACATTAGACTCTTGAAGTGGTATGGTTGAGATCCTTTCCCAACTATGCTTGAAAAGCACAGGCCTCTCCTACCCTGCCTCTATGGTGGTAGGGGTGGATTCATTCATAGCACACCAACATTTTTCTTTAAAAATACTTTCCAACCGATTTCCAATGTATATACTCTTATCAAAGGTGAAATACTTAAGAATTGTAAAACTGATTTCCCCCCACCTCATCCTATCCCACACAGATTCATATTAAATATATATAATACACATGCATATATATGTATATATATTTAAATCCTGTATGGTGTTCTGGCATTCATTTTGGACTGTGATATTTTCACTATCTTCAGTCTTAGGCAAAACTTCCACGTTAATATCTGATACTGATGTTCATAAGAATGTTCTAGTTCTGCCCTAAGACTTCAGAGAATGCACATATATGTCAGGTATTTGATCTGTAAAAATTATAGATCCTCAGTATAACCGAAAAGTAATACAAATGTGAGTGCTGGTCAATTCAAAATGTAAAAGAAATTAAAAGAAAAGTAATGCCTACTAACTACCATGGTTCTGCTATTGTCATATTAAGCAAGACGGTATCAAAGAAAATATGCTGAGAACATATGAACTGCAGAAATTATATACTTTTATCAAATAGCCATGGTTTTCATGCCTGTTCATTTTCTTAACACTGTATTTCCTGCTTCTTCAGAGACTACCTAGTCAATTACATGGTCTTCCTTTCACACTTACATCAAGGCCAGGAGTAAACTGCTCTAAGCACAATGCAACAGCCTGTTTCTTTTGAAGCAAATAAAATGGGACCATGGTTTTTAATCTTTTTTTTTTTTTAATTTTGCCAGAAAAGTGACAGGATAAGAATTAGGCTAAAGAGAGAAGCATGAAGAAATCTTTTCTTCCAGAAGGCTGAACAGCACTACATTAACAATACACTTCCTGATGGGTAAGTGGTGAGTTCTTTTGTTTACTAAAATACCTCAATCAATTTTTCTTTTAATGACTTCCATCACCACTACCAACACAGCACTGAAGGACATTTCAGCCCTGAATTTTATCTTTCCTCATGTACTTTACTGTTCAGAACAAGCACACACCACAGTCATGTGATATCCCTTATTATCGTAACTGAAGCTTAACGGATATAATTAATGGATTATTCCAACCCTCTCTTTAGTTCCTCAGCTCCTTTTATTCTTAAAGAGATGAATTCTAATAGGGGCTTTATCAGATTCTAAATACAGTAGAGACATATTAGAATAATGAAATGCCCCTCATGACTCACCGTGTGGCTTATTGTTGTAATAAAATAAATGTCCATCCAGAGGAATATTGTTAGGTTTTAGCACTTCTCCCTTGATTCTTTGCTGAAGATTGGAAATTTGGTTCCAATATCCTCCCACGCCCCTACTAGCTGTGTGAGAGTGGCAAGTCACTTCTCTCGCTAATGTCATCTGCAAAATTACCCCATCAAGAAAATGTCTAGCTAGATAATTTCTTAAGTCAGCTATCCTTCTCCAAACTTGAACTTCAGAGTTTAAAAAATCAGAATGTATGGTACAATTATGGGTCATTTTAAATTTTTTCCTTCACTTATCACTATTTTCTATGGTTTCTCCAATGAACATGAATTACTCTTATAGCAAAAAAAAAAAAAGTTATTTAAAAGAGAACCAACAAGAAAAATAAAAATTAGTAAAAATATATTTGGGATCTTACACATCCCCAAGCCTTTGTCAGTTATGTGTTAAAACCCAAAACAATGTGATCACCATGCGATGTAGAGATCACCATGATACACTTAAGAAATCTAATCACAACAATCTAAATGTAGCATTGTATCAATTTTATTTTTTTAATATTTTAATTTAATTTAATTTTTTATTTATTTTTTTAATTTTTTAATTTTAATTTTTGTATCAGATTTTGAAAACACTTGTGTAGCATGTGTAGGTGAAAAAAGTATATGAGCAAAAACAAAAAACAAATTAAATACAAATCACCTATTATCCCATTTCCCAGTAAGCTGACAATTTTAAAGTGCACCAGATTATGATCAGAAATCCTGGGTTCAACTTACTTTTGTTCAGTCAACATTTATTGAGCTCAAGGCATCAGAGATTGAAGATGAATGAGGAGATTACGATACAATGGAAGGGATAGATATTTAAGCAACTTCATAATTAGTCGGACTGGCACACATGCTGAACAATCAAAAAGGGTACCCTGGAAAACTCTAGTTCATTCTGACTGAGGAGATCAAAGGCCTTGTATACTCCACTAAGAGGTTTGTGTTCTAGTGTGGTCTGCGCTCAGTGCTCTTCAACAAATTGTTTGGCCTCTCTGGCCATCTGTTTTCCCAGATGAAAATTAATGAAATTGAGTTTTGAAATTTCTAATCGTATCAGCTATAAAATTCTAGGAGTCCTTGATTTTATGTTATGACAATGTTGAGGGCCCTTTATCTAAAGCTTTTTAAAACGTCTTTGTCCAGTCTCCCTGACCCCTCACTATTATTGTTACTGGAAAGGGGTCCTGATTCAGACCCCAAGAGAGGATCTCCTACAAGAAAGAATTCAGGGGGAGTCCATACAGTAAAGTGAAAGCAAGTTTATTGAGAAAGTAAAAGAATAAAAGAATGGCTATTCCACAGGCAGTACAGCGGCTTGAGCTTCTCACCTAAGGATACTTACAGTTATTTCTTGATTATATGCTAAACAAGGGTGAATTTTTCATAAGTTTTCCGGGAAACAGGTGGGCAATTTTAGAAGCTGAGGTTTCCTCCCCTTTTTAGATCCTAGACAGTAACTTCTGGAAGCTGCCATGGTACCTGTAAATTGTCATGGCACTGACTGGAGTGTCTTTTAACATGCTGATACATTATACATAATTAGCATATAATGAGCAGTGAGGACAACTAGAGTTCACTCTCCTGGCCATCTTGGTTTCCATAGGTTTTGGCCGGCTTCTTTATTACAACCTGATTTATCAGCAAGGTCTTGTGCTGACCTCCTTTCTCATCCTATGACGTAGAATGTTTAACTTCCTGGGAATGCAGCCCAGTAGGTCTCAGCCGTTTTACCCAGCCCCTATTCAAGATGGAGTCACTCTGGTTGAAAGGCCTCTGACACTATTCTCATTGTCTCAGCTGAATCAAGTCTGAGATTATACCTCTCCCTCTGTTCCCATCTCTCTATGGCTATTGAACTATGGAAGCACTCCATTTACAGGCAGAGAACTCTGCATTTGAGCTGGGCAGGTATGAAAAAGCTGGCCGGGCGCAGTGGCTCACGCCTGTAATCCCAGCACTTTGGGAGGCCGAGGCGGGTGGATCATGAGGTCAAGAGATCGAGACCATCCTGGTCAACATGGTGAAACCCCGTCTCTACTAAAAATACAAAAAATTAGCTGGGCATGGTGGCACGTGCCTGTAATCCCAGCTACTCAGGAGGCTGAGGCAGGAGAATTGCCTGAACCCAGGAGGCGGAGGTTGCAGTGAGCCGAGATCACGCCATTGCACTCCAGCCTGGGTAACAAGAGCAAAACTCCGTCTCAAAAAAAAAAAAACAAAAAAAAAACAAAAACGAAAAAGCTAATTTGGTTCAGTGCTTTCCCTTCGCTTTCTCTTTAAGGATTATTGACTATATGCTAGTTGGAGAAAGAAGCAAATTTGAAAACCTGTTAAATTAGCTATTTTTATAATTAAGTGGTTTTGGCTATCATTCCAATTTAAAGCCATGCAGGGAGCTCATTCTTTTTAGTAATAGTGATTTTTCAAGTTTCTGGAAATCTTACACATTAACCTGAAGCCACATACTTTTCTGACATTCTTCAAATTCTTTAAATAGATTTGGGGGATTGGATTCAGGGCTGGCTTCTATTAGCATTACATTCTCAGCAAATAATATCCATTTAATTTGTTTTTAGAAGAGCATTATTTTATTAGATCTATTCACAGGAAAACGCATGTAGATGCATTTGTGTTTGATGATCCACTCAAGACATATACAAGAACAAATTTATGTAATATAGCCATCTTCCTGTTATTTATTAAAACATATGTGAAATTAATGTTTTAATCTATTCACCATTTAATTTAAAAATTTTTATTAAGCTCCTATGTGAAAGCTAAACATCATTAAACATAATGACCCATCCTTTCATATGAATTTATTTTTTTCTTGTGACATTAAAATGATTCAGGTTTTTTAAAAATTTCAACAAACTGCTGGGGCAAGAGACTGCTAGATGAATCCTAATGCTGAGAGGACAAGAGTTGACTAGAATGTAGAAGGGGAAAAGAAGCTAGAATGAAGTTTCTCAACTTCGACACTATTGATATTTGGGCCAGATAATTCTTGGTTGTGGGGGACTGTCCTGTGCTTTGCAGGATGTTTAACAGCATCTCTGGTCTCCACCCACTAGATGCCAGTAGCAACCCACCCACTCATCCCACACTTGTAACAAGTAAAAACATCTCCAGACATTGCCAACTATTCCCTGGAGTCAAATTCACTCCTGGTTAAGTTAGACCCACTGAGCTAGAATGATTCTTTCTCTGATAACGTGCCAGCTCTTAGGGACTGGCAGTCCCCAGGTTTCTAAGTCTAGGACACATTCCTTTTCCTTCTTAGAGATGAAAGGGAACCCTTGCTCTTCAATCTGTATACATTGAGATTGCACAGAAAAGCAAATTCCATTCTCTTGCCTCTATTTTTGCCACCAGTGGTAATGATAATGGTTAGCCCCTTCATGAAATAGACTGAAAAGGTGGCTACTGGCCTGAAGTCAGGGTTAGAACTTAGTTCTCCTGAACAGGAATACACTTGTATTTACAGAGCTACACTGTCTGATGTAGTCTCCCTTGCCTTAGTTCAGGCTGCTACAACAAAATATTAGGTTGGTGCAAAAGTAATTGCAGTTTTTGCCCTTAAAAGTGAAGGCAAAAATTGCAAATATTTTGCACCAACCTAATATTGTAGCCTGGATGGTGTATGAACAACAGAAATTTATCATCTCACAGTTCTGGAGGCTGAAAGTCTGAGACCAAGTGCCAGCATGGTCAGGTTGAGTGAGGGCCCGCTTCCAGATGCAAGACCACCAACTTCTTACTGCATCTTCACGTGATGGAAAGAGAGTGAGGGAGCTCTCTGGGATCCCTTTCTAAAGGCACTAATCCCGTTCATGAGGGCTCTACCTTCATGACACAATTACCCACAGAAGGCACCATCTCCTAATACCATCACATTAGAAGTTAAGACTTCAACGTAAGAGTTTTGGAGGGATACAAACATTCAGTCCACAATATCCCTCCTAATTAGAGTGTGAGTGGTATAGGGATACCACAATACAATGTCCCCAGAAACTTAAAAATGCAAGTGCTTTGGGAGTTAAATCTAGAAGCCAATATTTTTTGTACTTAGTGGAGATATGCAAAGAAACCTTCAAGCATTGGTCCTCACATTATAGTATATATAGAAATTACCTAGTGATTTGTTGAAAATACAGATTCGTGGGGCCCACCAGCAGAGATTCTGATCTAGTAGAACTGGAGAAGACCTAAGTGTCAAGTCTCCATATGCAAGCCTAGAGCCTGAAAGTCTGAAGTCCTGCTTGCCTCGGCTGAAGTCTCCCACCCCCTGCATGCGTTCGCCATTGTCCCTGATCACCTGGTGGAGCTTCCCCAGACAAGCCCCTCACCCAACCCTGCCATCTTAACTGTTCTTATGACAATGTAAATACCTCTCACCCAACCCTGCCATCTTAACTGTTCTTACGACAATGTAAATACCTCTTGCCCAACCCTGCCATTGTAACTGGACTTGTGGTCATATATAGTCCTTGTCCCCTACCCCTGACCAGTGTAACTGATCTTATTCTGCAAGACCCCCGCCCCGCAAAAAAACTACCCAAACCTATAAAACCAATTCCTATCCCACTGCCCTTTGCTAATGCCTTTTTCAGCCTTAGCCCACCTGCTATCATATAAACAACGATGTTGCTCACACAAAGCCTGTTTGGAAGGTCTCTTCATTCAAAGCATGCATTTTTTCAACACTAAGCATTTTTAATATACATCTAAATGATACAGAGGCATACAGTCCATGAACTTCCATTTGAAAAATACTGCCCTGAAGATGAAAAACAGCTACGGGCCTCTGATTGGAGGCATTGCTATGTGTCAAGAAAGCATAATTCCGGCCGGGCGTGGTGGCTCATGCCTGTAATCCCAGCACTTTTGGGGGGCAAATCAGGCAGATCATCTGAGGTTAGGAGTTCAAGACCAGCCTGGCCAACATGGTAAAACCCTGTCTCTACTAAAAATACAAAATTAGCCAGGTGTAGTGGCAGGCTTCTGTAATCCCAGCCACTCGGGTGGCTGAGGCAAGAGAATCTCTTGAACCCGGGAGTCGGAGATTGCAGTGAACCAAGATCGTACCACTGCACTCCAGCCTGGGGGACAAAAGGGAGACTTCATCTCAAAAAAAAAAAAAAAGGATAATTCCATTAGTAGCGCAGGAGGAGAGAGTCAGCCACAGTCAAGCCTGGAAAGGAGAGTCCTAGAGCAAATTGGACAGTGATAATCTAAGGTCCTGCCCAAGGACTTGCCTGTCCCTTCCTTAAGTGGGCGTCTCAGTTGTGGAAATGGATATTCTGTGTCACCTTAGCCTAATGTCATTAAACATTCAAAATGTGTAACTAGCTCTTTTTGCCTTCCTTTGGGGAATGCCCTGGGGCAGCTTTCCTCACTGTAAACTAATAAATTGATATTCTGAAGGTATGTATCAGTCTTTGCACTTGGGTAATGTGAGTCCTTCCTAGAAAAAAATGGCTATTCTCAGCTTACTGACAAACCCGGGTTTCTAAGTCTAGGGTCAGAACCTGGACTATAGTAAATTAGCAAAGGTAAGACCAGTGGTGTGTTGGTAAATTTTTAACAGACAGCTCTCCAGGAGGAAAATTTTAAAAGACTGGATCTGTAGCCTTGGCCAAGCCTCAGGGTGCAATACTTGTACTCCTACTGTGGCCAATTTCAAGCTACGAGCCTGACGTCAGGCTATGTAGAGTTAGGAAGAGAAGCACACCATTTATATATGAATAGTATTGTCACCATATGGATAAAATCAATATAAATAATCCCAAGGCACAGATAGTAAAATAATTAGGAAGGGAAGAATTTGGGGATAATTAGTACCTTTGTTTTTATTTTAACTTATTTTATCTAATATTATTGTTTGTTTACATAATTTAATTTAAAATAATGACAATTTTTAACAATCAGCAAACAAAATTTCTAAAAATTTACAATTGGCTGATGTAGCCAGCTCCAGCACGCCACTGGAGGCCAATGTTTATGAACTGATTTGAGTGAGCAGATCACCTTCCCCCAATGATACCTGTGTTTCAAATGTGGATATTCTTTAGAGCTTCCATGTGGTCATAGAACAGGGTCAGTGGTACTATTTACCCCGTGCTTAAAATCATCAACCTTGTCTCATGAATCCCTTAGAGGTACAGTCCTTATATGGTATACAAAGAGCTTCCATGTGCAAAATTTCAACTGATTTTGATAGCCACCTCAAAAATTGAGTATAATAATTATTTTCCTCCTTTTCAGACGAAGAAACTAAACTGAGAACAGCCAAATTACTTGCTCCTGTTTAAACAGCTATTTTGCAGCAGAGCAGAGAATCAGCGCAACTACCATTTATGGAAGGCCAACTGCAGACCAGAGATGCTGTTCTACAGTGTCAGGTACACACCTCTTGCCTAATCCTCAAAGCAATCCACATGAAATAGATATTATTGGGCCTATTTTAAATATGAGGAAACTGAACTCAGTGAGATTATGCGACTTGTTCAAGATCACGTACCTGACAAGTCTAAGTCAGGATTAGCTACCCAATGCTTGTCAAACTCTAAGGCACATCACAATCCCAGGAGAGCCTAGTAAGAGACAGATTTCAGGGCCCCACGCCTAGGGTATCCTGAGGATATCCTAGGGAGCATGGATATCCTCAAGCTCCCTGAGGATACCCATGATGCTGTTCTGGGCACCACACTTCGAATAATCTCCAGCTGCATCATGCAGCTATTCATTGCTTCCTAGGAGTCCAGACATCCTGACTCCTAGTTCTGTTCTCTGTTCACTACAACACACCACAGTAGTTTATTCTAACTCTAAAGTAACCAGACAAAAGACAGTATTGTGTATACATTTGCAAATAGACATATTTTCTTTTAAGCAGTTGATATAACATATGGTGATTCTGAGCTTTTGTATAAATTTATATTATACAGAAAATTTAATTGTCATGAAAACCATTAGATGAAAACATTTTAGAAACCTTTTTTCAAGGTTTATTATTATTGTTTTATTTATTTTTTTTTTTTTGAGACAAAGTCTCACCCTGTCACCCAGGCTGGAGTGTAGTGGTGCAATCTCAGCTCACTGTAGCCTCTGCCTCCCAGATTCAAGTGATTCTCATACCTCAGCCTCCCTGGTAGCTAGGATTCGACACCAGACCCAGCTAATTTTTGTATTTTTAGTAGAGATGGGGTTTCACCATGTTGGCCAGGCTGGTCACAAACTCCTGGCCTCAAGTAATCCACCCGCCTCAGCCTCCCAAAGTGCTGGGATTACAGGCATGAGCCACCGTGTCTAGCCCAAGGTTTGTTATTAAAGTTCTAGTCATCCCTGCAAATAAATATTGTATATCCAGCTTTGTTGTAAACAGTCCATTTAGGGAAAAAAGACATTGTGTGTGTTGTGGACACTCTGGAATCATGTATTAAATAAGCTCCCAGAACTTGCATTTTCAAATTTCAATTTTGCTTCAGGGAAAATTGACTTCTTACTCAGCTGATATTTATACTCGGAAGATCTGCATCGAAGCCATACTTAATGATAACATTAATTATAATATTTATAAGACGTCTTTCCATGAGGCATTCAAATAACTGCAGTCATGTAATCTTTTTCTCAGTGTGGGCTCAAGATAGAGATGGAATGATCAACTCTGTCTTAGAGATGACAAGCCTGCGTTTCCGTGCAGCCCTCAGGTGTCTTGGTGAAGGTCATTCAAAGAAAGAACCAGAACCTAAGCCTTGAGAATCCCAGCTCAGGATAGCCATGGTTACATAACTGCTCTTTAATAGATGCAGTCTCTCCACTGCCGGGTCAAGGAAACCGTGGTGAGACTCAAGCCAACCAGTGTGGTTACTTGGTAACCGCTTAGGTAAAACGCTAGAAGAGAGAGGAGAATCAAGCTATTGGATAAAATTTAATGATTGCTTTGAATTACTCTCTTATTTCCCAGCACCATGGAAAAATAGGAGTTGGCATTTGTTCTTTATGGCTTGTCAAATCTGACCTGGGAGAACCTACTACCACTTCCGAAAATGGATGTGTTGTTAAAATAGCTTAAGTTTGATGTATCATATTTGCACACTAACAATTAGGAGGCAATTCATTTTCAAATAATGAGGGCTCCATGAGAACTTACTCAATTAAAATGATAACTTAATTATCTTCAATTGCCATATATGACTGGGGGAATCTATTTAAAGTTTTTACCCCACCCCCACCATTCTTCCCTTTGCCTTCCTTTTAAAATACCACATATTCCTGGTGAGTATTCATTTTGCCCTGTTCAAGGGTGATACATCAACTCACTGTATTTCCCCGGAATGTTCATTTCATGGATGAATGAAAATAGTGACGCTCGTTGTATTTCAGGTGCTCTACCCCATCTAAATGATGAGCAGCTTTATGAGTAAGGGAACTTAGAATGTTTTATTGTTCAGGTCTCCACAGTTACTAGAAAGCCTGAGTAACATTCAGGGAGTTCCAAAATCTAGGCTTTACATTGTGGGCACCTCTATTATTAGGAGACTGGGCCAGTCCCCCAGGCCCAGGAACAGCCTGGAGGCAAATGCATAGGGACAGCATTGTGTCGGAATTTAAAAGAAGGAGGCAGAGTTCTCAGGCTGTGGTGAAAACACCCCTTAATTCTGGTCACTCTTAAAGATATTCCACTAATACTGACTGGTACAGGCTTCCATCATATTTAATGTGTGCCATGTGCCTAGCACAGCCCCTGGTCCATGATAAGCACCCAAATATTAGTCATCATTTTGCAGTCTTTTAAGGCCATGCATCTTTTCCCACTTCTAATCAAGTTTCCACTGCTGTAACATAGACATCCTCAGGTTTCTACCCTGCTCAAAAATGTTCAATGACTATTAGTTCCACCAGTGCTTCGCAAAGTGTACCAGAATCGCCTGGGTTGCTTTTTGTACAGTTGCAGATTTTCAGACTTCATGCCAAACCTTCTGTATTAGACCCTGGAGGAGTTGGGCCTGGGAATTTGAATTTATTAACAAGCTCCACAAGTGTTTCTTACATACGCTACCAATAATTTGAGATTCCCTGACATGTTGTATAGTATGCATATACCTTTACATGGCATTTATTACCCCTTAAAATCTGGTTCCAACCATCCATCCAGTCATATTGCCTGCCACATGGCATGATTGACACTCCCTTATCAGGAAAAATTGTGAAAGACTTTGAAATGAGAAAAAAAAATCCTGGATGTTGTATCTATCATACCATTCTGGATTATCTCTGCCTTTCATTATATTTGAGTTATTTTATAATTCTGTCAGTTTTAGAAAATTAATAATGATGCAAACAATTCCTTCTGTAGAAAGCAACTGAATCATGTCATGTGAAATGCAACGGATTCTTTATATGTGGATAAATCAGTTTGCATCTATTTTTAAATTCATTTCAGCATTCCTCATTGCTCATATATCTGTGTGGATTTCTTTGAATTATCCTTTGAATGAGCTGTAATATCTTACAGTTTCCCTTATTAATAAATTAAATAAGATCTTTGATATCTGTTCTTTTTATATTTGCATGAGGTTATAAGTTTACCTTTAAAAAATTATCCTTTCACACCCTGAACACACTGTAGTAGCTTCAGACTCTGCTGTGGTCATTTCCCTTCCCTCCTTGCCATGCCCTCCCCTGTTTCCCTGACCATCAGTTTCCCTGGTGAAGTCCCTCTAACCCTTCAAGGTCCCACAAAGTTGCCAAGTGCCAGCTTCGCTGTCAAACCGTTCTTCATGTTCAACCCATTCATTCTTCCATCCTCATCTGCCCAACTCAGACTCAGTACCTCCCAACCCCTGACTCACACCTTCTTAGAGGATTTCTCACACCAGATTCCTGTAGGAGTTGCTTTAAAAACTGAGAATGCAAGTATGGTTATTTCTCTACTTGACCTCTCTGCATTTCAGTTTCCTTATCTGTAAAATGGACATAATAACAGCACTGACTTAGTGGGCTATTGTTAAGATTAAATGAGTTAATCCATGTAAAACACTTAGTGTATTTCCTGGTGTATAGTAAGTGTTGAATAAATGTTAGCTATCAATAATTTTGAATAGATATATACTAATATATATAAAAATATATAAATATAAATATAACATATAAATATATATTATATATTATATATATTATATATTACATATTATATGTAATATACAATTTATATATAAATTAACATATTATATATGATATGTTATATGTGATATATAAAAATATATATAGCATAATATAAAATATATATTTATATGTTATATCTCTATATATATTTTTATATAAGTATATATATAAATATAAGTGCATATATAGAGATGGAGAGACTTCATTTAAATTTCCTCTAATTTGTATATATTATATATATATAGTAATATATATATATTGTAATATATATATATTTAGATGAAGTCTCATTCTGTTACCCAGGCTGGAGTGCAGTGGCGCGATCTTGGCTCACTGCAACCTCCACCTCCCAGGTTCAAGCGATTCTCCTGACTCAGCCTCCTGAGTACCTGGGATTACAGGCACGTACCACCACACCTGGCTAATTTTTGTACTTTTTGTAGAGATGGGGTTTCACCATGTTGTAGAGGCTGGTCTCAAATGCCTGACCTCATGATCCACCCACCTTGGCCTTCCAAAGTGCTGGGATTACAGGCATGAGCCACTGTGCCCAGCTGTATTTTTTCTAATTAATAGTTTGATAATCCACATGTCTCAGGTACACAGACTACTGTCTACAAAAACCGTCTTCCTTAGATTACATTTCCTGGCCCTGCTTCTAGCTAGGTTGGATCAGAAATGCCCTATGTGCATCTCAAGTCTGGTCCATAAAAATTCCCACATGTGCTCCTCCAAACTATTCTCTATTTTTTTAAGGCTGCAATGGAGACTTCAATGACTGGAGTAACCTTGGAAGCCAAAGATCAAAAATACAAATTTTCTATCAGCCTAGGTTCCTGAATGAACATCTAAAGCAGGCATTCCTCCATGTCCCTCATCCCCAAACAACATCCCAGAGAGGGCCACCACTTCCCTCAGATGTCACAGACCCTTTCCTGATATCTTTTTAGTAGTCTGATCATTTTCTAGTCTAGGATGAAGGCACAAATGTAATGGTTCTCTATAAGAGGAGAGCCCTCTCTGTTGGGGCTAACCTTAGCCAAGGATGTACTGCAGGTGTTTCCAAGATTCCAGTTATTAGTAGTTAGATCTTGCAGGTTATGTAGAGTTAGGGGCATATAAGCTCCCTTAATCTGGGCCACTTTTACCTGGCTACCCTTTACCCAAAGAGTGTGGCTTTTTGAATCCCAGAAAGCACGAGGGCCTCTTTATACTTTTCTTGAGGCCTGATCAT